TCTTCTGCATGTTGAAGTATAGCTGTGATTTTGGACAATAGAGTCTTCCAGCTTTCCATCTGGGCACGTACTTCCTCCTCTGAATTTTGTAGCTGATCACTTATATATCCAATCAACTGATCACTTATATATTCATTCAACTTTTCACGTAGCGAGTCAAATATACCAGGTAAAAGAAAACCTCCAGCAAAAGATAAGAACTCCATTGGATGGAACAACTTTTCTACAAAAGAGAAAGAAATGAATTGAAATACAAATTAGGTTAATCTATTAAATACCTCACACTATTATCAAATTAGTATTTTATCCTAATGGATTGATTTAATTCGTTTCGCGTGTTGAAATTAAAAATAGCAAAGATGATAGAAAGAAAGCAATAAAAATATATATCATAGAGTTTGATTTTGATCTTCCTAAAGATATTAATTAGAAAGTATTAGTACACATATACATACCTCAATTATGTTGTAGCTGCTTTTTCTTTCTCACTGATGGTCGAAGCTAAAAAGTTGTTGGTTTTTTTGTAGAGAGACCAGTTAAACTTAATTTGGTAAAATATTTTGAAATCTGTGTCAAATAAGTAAAATATTGTGTCAAAGCAAATAAAATATTAGATTAAAAAAGACAATAAAACAATAATTAGGAAAAAAAATTTAATCATCATTATATTAATTAAAAACAAACCTTAATTAAGAATAATTAGATATTCTAATGAATTAAAACACAATCAATAAAAAATTCTAAAATAAAGATATATTTAAACAGGACTAATTAAAACACTTAATATTATTTGTCTGATTCAATCAACATAATGGTATATATAGAGATTGTTTAATGTAAAAATAAAAAATAATAATAATAACACACTCATAGAAGTAATATATCATGGAAGTAATATGCGAAGAGATATATCCATTAAAAGATTGCAACAAGCCAAAGAAAACATATAGGAAAATGAAATTTGAGTGAAAATAATTTAGCCATCCATAGTTGGGGATTAATTAAGAAGCATATCTCTGCTTTAACGCTCAAAGCTGGAAGCGCGAGTGGAGATATTTCCTGGAAAATAACTGCAACAATGGAAGAGGATGGGAAAAAGAGAGACTGTGGATGGTAGAAGGAGATGGATGAAGTTCTGAGAGAGAATATTTAGGTTGATAAGGTGTGTAAAATGACTGATTTGAATGTGCTACTAAAAAAGAGTTAAATCACATCTCCACTGCTGCATTATATACTGATGGTGTAGATCAATTATTTTTAAATAAAATTAAATATTAATATAATATTAAATTAACTGTGCACATAATAAAAATTAAATTTAAAATCTCTCACATTCTTAATAGATTAATATGATATTTTTATTTTTATTTTTTAAAGATAAGTAAAGATAAAAATTATTTTAAAATAAAATGGGCATAAAACATTAGACGAACATTTTATCTGAAAATGACAAAATTCGAATTTCTTACAAATCAAATTTCCTAATTACATTTATTGCAACATTTTAATATTGTAGTAATACTGTTTTTGTTTTTCTTCAATGGGGTGAAGATGGTCATTGCACGGACAGAATAGAGTACAATAAAGCCGTTGATGCCATCAGGACGCGGTTTGCTTTAAATAATATGAGCCCTACAAATAATAAGACGCGGTTTGCTTTAGAGTTTAGATGAATGTTAAAAATTACGTGCCATCTTAAAGGATAGGAAAGACCCCACTGCCAACCATTATTGGTCCTGGAAATTGAAGAGAAGATATGCAATCTCTTACCTTTTGGCCTTTTCTATCTAATTTCATAAATTTTTTTT